AGGTGATACTATACAGCTTTATTGCTTTTTCGCGACAGCAACCGGTTTTGCACTTGTTTACGTTCGTATATAAATAGGTAAAATTAGACGATATATAATTTAAATTAGACGATTGGATTAGACGATATATTAAATAAATATAGGAGATTAATTATATCAGGTATTATATTAGTATATTATAATAATTAGACCAATTTATTAGACTCACTGTAGTTTTTTTAATAATTACATGTTTTGACCGAGTTTATATACAGTACTTTTATATTTAAACATATATGTAATGGGTTTTTATTCAGGACATTTTTATATACATCCCATTTGTATTTATTTTTAACGTATTACATTACAATGTTAATCTATTGATACACCAATGTAAACAAGTACAAACCGGATTCAGCAGCGTAAAAACAATAAAGCTGTATAGTATCACTGATAATTAAGATTTTGCATAGAATCTTTAGTGAGTCTAATAATGTGGCCAGGAACTGTAGTAACATTCTAAAAGGCAATTTTAATTGCTTAATGTGCTGACTTAATTTACTAATTAATTTGCGATAATTATTTAGTAAGTGCGAAATCATGTCCAAAAGCGTACTTTCTTTGAGTAAACATAAGTACTATATTAAAATATTTGGAATCGTAACTATCAAAGTATGAATGTTGATGCAATCTGGAAAATAACTTTGTAATAGTAAAGTCAAGAGAGGGGTCGAAGTTCATGTAATTTTTTGTAATTTTGTAGTAATTTTTCATTTATAATGATTCCATTTTTTTAAGTTTAAGGCCTCGTTTGAAATTATTTAAATTTAAAAGACGACAAAAAATTAGTTTATAGCTCAGAAACTTACTAATTAAACTTTTTTAATAAATGCAGTTTGAAGTTTTTACTTCTAAAGAACTATTTATCTGATGTTGTCCAAATTTTTCACTTTCTCATTCAAAATGTGTAAATATTTGCACATCTTGCGTTTCAAAAATTACTGAGCAGAATTACAGAAAATGAATCATAATTAAAAATCATCTTTTGCGAGGAATTATCTTTGATTCAGCGAGTCTATCTTTGGAGTTATCTTCGATTATTACACATCTTTATAGAAAAATAAAATTTACAAACAAAAGCAACTCTTTATACATTCTCCTTGTAGATGTTCATTCAGCATCCTTCATTATACCTAAAATAAATCAAATTTACAATTAAGTTCTGATTTCCCCTAAAAAATATAAACTATCTCCTTTAAATCGTTTTTATTTAAGTTTATGATACTATTTTTCAGTATTTTGTTATTTCATAAATATCAAACAAAGTTATATTTTTCAGGACGCCCTCATATTGAAAAAATAATAATTTTCCTCCATGTTAAGCTACAAATGAATAATGAGCCCAGAATATCCTTATTTATTCAAAAACTAATTTAAAAAATTGACTCATTTTTGTTTCATATTATTCATTTAAATATATTCTAGTTATATTTGTTACAAACTTTTAAATAATAAAACTCTTAGTATGTGAACACTTTTTTTTAAATTTTAAAAGTTCTTGTTCAGAAAATATTAATAACCTTAAAATTTAGAATTCATTAACTTAGTTCAATGTTACATTTTTCAAAGAATAAAATGAAACAAAATTTATTTAAAAATATTAATTAGTTACTGAATTAATATGGAAATTCCGGGCAAATAATTTTCTCTAGGTTTATAAGGAGAAATTAAAACATATTTTCTTTCTGAATATAATTTTTTAAATGAGGAAACATTTCATTATTTTAACGTATATACAATTTTGAAGAAAATTTTGTTAAGCAAAATTGTTGGAATTTTGTTAAACAAAAACCAAAACTATCATGCCTGTTTTCCTTTTCTGACTGCATTTTCTTTAAAATTGAATTTCTAATTTATTTAATTAATTTGATTTATTTTAAATGATACTTGATTAATTAATTGCTAATGTAAATACTGTAATGTTATTTAATGCATTTAATTCTTTAACAATTTATCTTATTATCGTCCATTAATAACTTTACATTAAGTTAACCTAGGAATATACATTATAAAAACTATTTCTGCAACAGGTTTCTGATACATCGTTTTACAGTTTTTTTTTAAATAAATACATATTTCTTAAAAAAAATTGAAATTGCCTCATATAACACTCAATAAAGACTAATCTTCAATAATTTCTAATCTTAGTTTGTCTTAATCCATTAATTTTAAATTGCATTTAATCCTTTTACTTAAAAGCTGTTGTTTTTTATATATATAGTAATTAATTAATAATAACAATGCCTATATAAATGTTAATAAATGTAATTTTTAAATGCTCAAAAAAGGACTTATTACTACCAAAGTCAAAATTCCTGTCAGCCCCATCAAAAAACTTTGATGGTTTATGTTGGCTTCAGTGTTATTCAAGATGGTCCAACATCATTTGATGGTCTTGGTTTTTGATATGCCAACAAACTTCCATCACTTCATGATGAAAATGATACTTCAATACTATGATGGTTAACCATCAAGAGAAGTTTGACTCTTATTAACCAACAATTCGTGTTGGTTCATGAAGGTTCCAACTACGTATTTCCCTAAAGATTTAATGGGAATTCTTGTCAGTTCTCAAGAATATACCATCAAAACAATGTTTTCTTTTTAATTCTGAACCATCATAAATCTATCCGAATTCCTACATTATGATGATGGTTGTTCATGATCAATCCAACTTCTGATTTCTAAGACACTATGATGAAAAATTCGTGATGGATCAACATGAACAAACCATCAAAACAAGTTACTATTCTTATGTTGGACCATCATAGATCAGTTCAAATTCCCACATTGAGATGGTTACTTATGTTGGTTACCATCAAAAAATATAATGGTTCAAGATGGAATTATTGATGGTTACCATCAAGATTATGTTGGTTCATCAATGGAAAACCAACGGAAATTTTTGCTTAGGTAATTCCTGATTTACTATTAGCTTTTTGACGTTTTCTGAAAAGAAATGTTTGGATTAAAGTAGAAATGTAAGAAAATATTAGCGGATAACAGTGGTTATTAAAAAAAACTCACTCATGGTACAAAGAAAATTGAGTTTTGATCTTCATCAAGTAGATGTAAAATGATAGCTGCTATTTAAATGTCATTGAATGGAGTTTCCAAACAATATAATTATATCAGAATAAATCAACAATAGTATTTTAATATAAAAATCAGTCTTATTATATAAAATACAAATGTATTAATATTAAATAGCCGGTGAAATTTCTTTTTCGCATGGGCACAAGAGAACTGAAAATTAAAATATTTAATGAGTGAGCAGTCATAAGCATAAACGCTTATCTTGCTAAGCATAACCACTCTACTATACCTAGAACCCCCTTTTTTTAATTATAACTACAGCTATTAGAAAGGTAAAAGGGTGTATATTATAATAAACGTTTATTATAATTCCCGTGGAAGTTTCTGCAGTAAGATTTTTTTACTTAAGAAGCAACGCAGTTTAGGGTTTTTTTATCTGCAGAATTTTTTGTAATATTTTCTGCAGAACGTTTTTCCCTTTTCTGCAACATTATAATCAAAAAATGCATTTCTAGGAGGTGGAAAAAAACGCTAGTGATTTCTTTTCTACTTTCTTCTGAGAATAAAAAAAATTCGCAATGATTTTCTTTAGCTAGAATTTCAGATTGATATTATAAAAAGTAATTTCAAATAGCGAAAATTTAAAAAAGGCTAACTATAAAAATATTTTTTGGAACAGGAGATTAGCGACAGTAATAGAATACTTTTTTCATATTTAGATTTAAAAAAAATACTATTTTGTTCTAAACATGAAGGCTTTTTTTTGTAAACAGAAAGCGATTCTGTTACTTTAAATTAGTAGCATATATATTTGCTACTATTAAAAATGCCTCTCAGAAGGGTATTAACTACTAGAGAGAATTGTAGCAGAAAGCCTGAAACAATTTTGCCACAGGGATTATAATCATAAAACAGTAAAAATAAATGAGTTAGCATATTTATTTTTAATGTTGCATTACGATAAAACAAAATTATGGTACCTTTAAAAAAATGTAGAAAATTTTAAATATAATTCGATTCCAACAGCTCTCCCTCTCTCTCTTTCTGTAACAAGCCCACTGATAATACAATAGATAAGATAAAAGTTAGATCTCATGATGATGATTGATGAGTAGATGTGTTCTTATCACTCCCTGCTATGATCAGCAACCTCTTCACTCTGAAAGATTTAATATAAATGTATATCTAGTTCGTTTACCAGGAGTTGACACTTGGCTCCACCTCCTAGGATACTGAGTTCATTTCAGAGCGGAAGTAAGAGGAAAAACATCTCTGCACTTGAAATAGAGACAACCCTTAATGCTTGCCAAACGCAAACAGCTAACTCTATTATACCTTTCATTACTCTAGCCAAATAAATATATTTTAATTTTAAAACTTTGTGCTTTTTGAGACATTTTGCTGGGAAAACAAAACTATTCACTCAAAAGTGAGAAATATCATCAAATTTATGAAATATTTAATATTAAAAAAATGCACATAAAGATTGCGAAATTAATATTTTTTTCCTACGAACGCCAAATAGCAACCTTTTTCAGGATTGTCCACATCCTTCTCCCAAAAATAGCGAAATAGTACAGTCGGATATCACGTGATGAAGGCGGTGCCAAGTGCCAACTCCTGGTGAACGATCTACAGTTATTGTAATTTTCCTTTAAACTCCATTGAAAAATATTTTTATTAACTTATTCAAAATCATAAATTTTAACTTGTTGATGTAAAAGTAAANAGTGAAGAGAAGCTACCCTCCCTGAATTTTGCTATTCTTGTTTCCAAACCAGCCGACGGCTTCAGACTTTGTGACGGGGGAGTTCTTACCGAAGACAAACTATAGTCAGGATTGCAGGACCAAAAACAAAGAAATTGTAAGAATGGTGGAAAATAAGAAAAGGGTTGAAATGGGATAATTAGAAACGAAATGTCTCTAAGTGTCAAATTGATTCAAGGAGTTCCTTACCGTTTTTTTAGTTTGTTCTTTTGTTTGAATACTAATTTACTAATTAATGATCCCTCATGGTGGGAAATATTGTAGTATAAAGGCACAGAAAAGTAGTCCGTATTAGTTAAGCTAATTTTTAATAAATGATTTCACACAGCTTGCAAAAATTTGAAAATGCGAAGATATAATAAAAATAAAATTTCCTTTATTTAGTCACCATTTAACACATACAGCATCTTATTTTGATGGTTTCAATTTTAAAAAAAAGTACTAAGCATAAGCAGGGAAAAATATGTGTTTCAAAGCTTTGGTAAATAAAAGTTTGCATATTATTTTCGTATCTTATTTTTCTTTCAGTGTATAAAAAAAATACTTAATTTTATTGTGTTATTACACTTCTAACAAAAATAAACCTTTTTTTGATACCTAATCATATATGCTGAAAAAGCAAAGCCGATGTTAAAAACATTATTCGTGGAAATGAAATTTAAAAAAACAAACAGGTAAATCACTGCATGCAGAAATATCTTTCGTCTATCGAACTACTTTACGAGATAGCTAAAAAGAAAACTATTTTTGTTTTTCTTATCGAAACATTTTTACCGTTAAATTTACGTTTATAATCACAACAAATTAACGTAATTGCAACGAGACGTAACGACTATGCAACAAGACGTAAATTTTCCGAAATAAAGCGTTTTTAAAAAACTGTCGAAAAATATGCACGTTAAAATAACGTACTTTTAGTACGTATTTTTAACGAAATATTTAAAGGTAAAACAGGTATACGTTTTAACAAATGATCCAAGGGTGAAAATCATAACGTTAAAATTATGTCAATTTTGTGCCAAGTCCAAAATCTTATAACGTACTAACGCTAAAATCGACGTAATTTTAACGTTAAGTCCATAACCTTATAACTTTCTAACGTATTTTCAACGTTCATTTGCCCTTTCATGCTACGCGGGATGTTTGTAAGATGAAAAATTAGGTATGAATAACTCAAATATCTTCTACTGTTGGCAATTGCCAGAAATAAACAATAAAATCTTAAAGTTTCAATTCAAATGTTTATTACCTCTTCTTCTTGAATGCATGGCTTACACATGCTTATCTCATATTGAACTGATTTTTTAACAATTGACGTTTCATACAGAAATTCGGGAGAAGTTTTTGACGTTAGATCAATATATTCTGAAAGAAAAGTAACAATTTATATTATAATTTTAAATTCATCTCAGTATATCAATTTGAACTAATACTCTCGAAATTTAATTGTATATGTTAGCATCACACTTCACTTACAGCTTAGCATCGCCAAATGGAACAATAATATACTTTATTTATGTTCTAAATTCTACTGTAAGGGGAAAATATAGTTTTTCTTTTGTTTTTAAACAGCTGTGCTTTTCTTTAAACTATGTCTAGATCAATATAATCTGAAAGAATAGTAATAATTTATCTCATAATTTTAAATTCATCTCAGTTTATCAGTTTGGACTAATACTCTATTCGAAATTTAACTGTATAAATATATTAGCATCACACTTCACTTGCAGCTTAGTATCGCCAAATGGAACAATAATATCCATTATTTATTTTCTATATTCTACTGTAAGGGGAAAAGGAAATGAAAAAATCCTTTTTTCCCTTTTTTAAAAAAACTGTGCTTTTATAAACCATGCCTAGACTAATACCGTATGCTAAATTAGTAGATTTAGGCAACCAGTCGCTCTCATTTTGCATTATTGGAAAAGTATCTAGCGCATTTTATAATCAGCCTAAAACATTTTATATTTATTGCAGAGTATTCACAAAACTTCAGGCTAATCAGGAAATGCGTCTGAATTATTTAAGGTATTTCGCAATTGACACAAAATTGCCATGACGTAATTCCCTTAATAAAGGTATAATGCAATAAATATATGCAAATTAGTCAATATTTTTTTCGAAAACAGTCTAACCTAAAAATGTAGAGCAAATTAGAAAACACTGAAAATTTTCTCAATTATCTTGGCACATTGCAAGGAGGTAAATTTTTAAATCAGTCTATGACATATACTTTTATAAATGTAGTCTGCATTCTTCTCGTAGTTCGTAAATAAGTTCTGGCTTTTAGGGCTGGGATAGCTTGGTTGGTAGGACACTAGACCCAGGTCCAAGAGGTTATGGGTTCGATCCCCGTTTTCCGAAGACTCCCCGTGTAGTAAATGGTGACTGATGCACGTCAAATCTGTCAGGTTACATAGTCCTCCATGTTCCCTTAACAAATACCTCTGGGAGCAGTGATCCAGGAGTTCTCTTGTCTTCTGGATTGGGTTTAAAACTACAAGGCTACGGAGTTGAATATTAGCAGTCGCAAACCCTAAATTGGGTCGGCTGCTCAACGACTGTTATAAAATAAAAAATTCCGGCTTTTGACTCCACAGATTTGCAATCGTCAGTTTGCAATCATCGTAGTTCTGACGTCATTATTTGTTCCAAATAATATTCCACAAATTCTGGATCGGAGTTATCTTTTATACGATAACAGGTACTACCACTATGCCACGCCTTTTGCAGTTGAGTTTAGTGTTATTGGTATGTAACAATAAAATAAGTAAATAAAAAAAATGCGAAATAATTTGAAGTCAATTGTTGTCAAAGAAAAAAAAAATATTTGTCCACTTGTTCAATTTCTACGTAACTGTACACAATTTAAATAAGATAAGGTGCATTAGCTTTTTTGATCAATTGTGCTCAACGATTTTCGAAATGGAGTTATCTGACAATCCATTTTTCGTTTTCAGCCAATCGATCCTACCGACAAGAATCTCTACATCCTCTCGCTCTTTCTCCCAGAGTTTTACTCCGAGTGGCTTAAGTTTAAGAAAATACTCTTAAAATATTGTTTTTTTTTAAGATTAAATTTAAAGGTTTGAAAATGTCAAGGAATATTTTTTTTAAAAAAAACTCCTTATCTCATAACCTATGTTTCTGAACCGGAGCCTTGGTTTATTGGAATTGAAATTGAAAAAAAAAATGATTATTTAAAAATAATATAAAAATGTAAATGCAAAGTGGAATTTGGAGTATCTACCCT